TTATTCAAGTTGTCAATAAACATTTGCTTAATCATGCTGTTAAAGTGTAACAATAATAACTTATTAATAGTTCATTATATCTAGAAGTCACAGTTGGTTGTCCAGCCCTAAATCACCTAGGAGACATTTCACCATTGTTGTGCTAAGGGATGGAAGGGATGGGGGAAAAAAACAGTAGCACAAAAGTAAAGAGGAAAATAATTACTTTCATTTACCTACAGGTCCACTTAATTAAGTGAAAGTAGTATCTATGATATTAGATCTTCTTTTTTTTTTTCTTAGACAAAGTCTTGCTCTGTAACCCAGGATGGAGTGCAGTGGTGTGATCTCCACTTACTGCAACATTCTACCTCCCAGGCTCAAGCAATTCTCCTGCCTCATCCTCCTGAATAGCTGGGATTACAGGTGCTGGCCACCACGTCCAGCTAATTTTTCTATTTTTAGTAGAAACAAGGTTTCACCATGTTGGCCAAGTTGGTCTCGAACTTCTAACCTCAAGTGATCCGCCCGTCTGGGCCTCCCAAGTGCTAGGATTACAGGCATGAGCCACAGAACCTGGCGTGGTATTAGATCTTAACCATTTATTTCTGAAACTGTTAAGCAAGTGTACTAAAGCGTATCTACTAACCAAATTCACACATACCTCAAATCCTTTTTTTTTTTTTTTTGAGACTGAGTCTTGCTCTGTCATCCAGGCTGGAGTGCTGTGGCATGATCTTGGTTCACTGCAACCTCCACCTCCCAGGTTCAAGCAATTCTCCTGCCTCAGCCTCCTGAGTAGCTGGGATTACAGGCACCCACCACCATGCCCAGCTAATTTTTTGTATTTTTAGCACAGACAGGGTTTCACCATGTTTGTCAGGCTGGTAATGTCAGGCTGGTAATGAACTCCTGACCTCAAGTGACCAGCCCGCCTTGGTCTCTCAAAGTGCTAGGATTACAGGTGTGAGCCACTGCACTGAGCACCTCAATTTTTAAATATTGAAGTTTACCATTTAAAAAAATTATCCTGTGTACCTCCCTCTCAATTTTGCTATTAACCTAAAAGCTACTCTGAAAGAGGGTCTTTTTTCTCATTTTTGAAACAAGGTCTCAGTCTGTCACTAAGACCAGTGCCATAGCATGATCACAGCTCACTGCAGCCTCAACCTTCTGGGTTCAAGTGAACCTCCTGCCTCAGCCTTCCAAACAGCTGGAACTACAGATAAACACCACCATGCCTGGATAACTTTTTTGGTTTTGGGGGGATTTTTTGATAGAGATAAGGTTTCCCATGATCCCCAGGCTGGTCTCAAACTCCTGGACTCAAGAGCTCCTCCTGCCTCAGCCTCCCATGGTGCCTCATGTTTGTAATTCCAGCTTGAGCCACTATGCCCAGTTAAAAAAGTCTTTAATTTAAAAAAAATTATTCATGTGGTAAAGCTTTGAGTTTGACCTATCTATTGGCTGTCTCAAGAAATACTGTAAATAAATCTGAAACGTCACACCTAAACACACAATTGTTATAGAAGTTAAATACAACCTTGATAGGCTCTTTTACATTTTTCTTTTCTTTTTTTTGTAGAGAACAGGGTGTGGCTATATTGCCCAGGCAGGTCTCAAACTCCTGGGCTCAAGGTATCCTCCCGCCTCTGCCTCCCTAAGAGTTGGGATTACAGGCATGAGTCACAGTGCCCAGCCTCCTTACATCTTTCTTGATTAATGGTGCAAACTCATAAGAACAACTACTTCCTCAAGTCCATCACAAATCTAATTTTAAAAATAAATAAATAAAAAGAACAAGTACCACCCAGGAGCAATAGCTTACGCCTGTAATCCCAGCACTTTAGGAGGCTGAGGAGGGCAGATTACAAGATCAAGAGATCGAGACCAGCCGGACGCGGTGGCCCCAGCACTTTGGGAGGCTGAGGCGGGTGGATCACAAGGTCAAGAGATCAAGACCATCCTGGTCAAAATGGTGAAACCCCGTCTCTACTAAAAATACAAAAAATTAGCTGGGCATGGTGGCGCGTGCCTGTAATCCCAGGTACTCAGGA